GGAGCAAAAACCTGCAAATAAAGGAAAAGAAGACCTTGAGAGTCGGAGGGGATGTTGAAGTTAAGTTTGTCTTTAAGAGTCAGTCTGTGTGAAGTGTTTATAAGTAAAACTCTGGAAATGCTCAAGCACACAGCTCCTGTGGCTCCTGTTTAGTAAAAAGATAAGTCTATTTTGTGCAGGAGACAGAGCCACATTTGAAATGAATCCCAGACTATGGAACAAATGTCTGCAGGAACAAACTACCACAAACCTCCCCATCTTCAATTCCAAAGGTAACAGGAACCTCTTTGGCTAAGCACACTGATAAAAACACATAGCACACAGAAGTGTATACATTCCTGTTGGTCACACACACAATTGTCGTCTTGTGGAGAACCACCACAAAATAGCTGTTAAGTCACATTGTTTAGTTCATGTGGCAATCACATACCACGATGATGGACACAATAAGTGAATCAGAATAGAACTGACTTTTATAAGGCAGGCTGAGTTTACTATAATGGCCCGTAGCTGCCAGCTTTTGATTTGTAAACTGAAGATTTGTCTCAAGAGTAAAAGAGAGAATGGGTCTAGATGCATTATTTCGAATTAGCTTATTTTGAATTAACTAATTGGAAATAAGTTAGTTCAAATTAGTGCTGTAATGTAGACATACTCTTAGGGTATGTCTACACTACCACCCTAGTTCGAACTAGGGTGGTAACGTAGGCAACCGGAGTGGCAAATGAAGCCTGGGATTTGAATTTCCCGGGCTTCATTTGCATAAAGCCAGGTGCCGCCATTTTTAAATGTCTGCTACTGCGGATTCCGTGCTGCACGGCTACACGCGGCACGGACTAGGTAGTTCGGACTAGGAAGCCTAGGAGGGTAGTGTAGACATACCCTTAGAGACTAACAAATATATAGAATCGCGCGCTTCCATGGGTAAGACATACTTGTTAGTCTTTAAAGTGCTACATGACTGTGTTTTGTTTTACCAAGTTCAGACAAACACAGCTACCTCTCTGTTACTTTGGCGGCCTGATTAGTCTTGGGGATCATGGTTAGTGCATATGCCTGACTTCAGTCTTGTGGTCCACAGAGATGAAGAAGGGCACTCATCTGGCCCACTCACTAGCCTTGGTTGCTCATCACTAGTCTATAGTGCACATGCTATAGGCACTATAGCGCTTGGGTGCTGGAGTCTGTGCAGTGAATTTCAGAGTCCACACCACAGCCCAGCCCCCAATATATACACTGCTGTTTTTAGCACTGTTGCCTGTAAACTTGGGCTCTGAGCTATAGGACCACAAGTTTTAAATGTCAGTGTAGACATATCCTGAGAGGTAACGACCTCTCCTTCCATCCCAAGGAGCATAAGAAGGCAATACATCATCTGTGTAGCCTGCTGTGGCGAAAAGTCTTTGGGAGTCAGCCTTATAGATCTCCTGTAGGGTGCCTGGACTGGGAGAATCCTATCCTAGCTGGCACAGGCCTTGAAAGTCCCTTTATGTCACTCTGCCCCTTTTATGTTATGTACAATGGCTGGAAGTGAAGATCACGTGATGATTCCCTGTTTGGTTCATTCCCTCTGGGGCACCTGGCATTGGCCACTGTCAGAAGACAGGATCCTGGGCTAGTTGGGCCTTTGGCTTGACCCAGTGGGGCTGTTTTTATGGGGGGTAGTTGGGCCTTTGGCTTGACCCAGTGTGGCTGTTTCTATGTTCTTATGTTTATGGAGCAGGATTGAGGATCTCAGCTCAGGACACTTGGCTGCCAGGGCTGGCCTCGCGGCTTGTGCTTCTGGGATCCATTCTAGTTTCTCAAAAAGGGAGATGATTGTGTTCCTTCGTGATCTGGGCCTTGCGTTATCTTTCTGCTAGGAAGGGACGGGAACATTTAAACATGGAAACACTTAATGATTTACTTTTTTCAAATTTAGTTACATGTTTATTTGTTGTTTATTTTGCTGGTGATTTTTTTTCTTGGCCCAGCTTGAATGACAGTTGTGAGTTTACCTACTCACTTGCTATGTGCATGTTAATCAAACAGATTCTCCTGTGAGTCTGATGAGGGTGTATTTGTATCACTAAGTCCCCAGGATGATGAAAGTCTCCTTGGAAGAAATAATCACGCTCCTTGCACAGGAGGGATTATGTTAGTGAGATACTGCTTGGTAAGATTGTAGCACTTTCCAACAGATTAACTCAGCCCCTAAACATTAGTCAAATTTCACAGCCCTGGGGAGGTAGCTAAATACTATCAGCCTGCTAGAAGGTTCTACAGTAGGGTGAAGTGCTTATTTGAATTGTATTTATTTATCTATTACAGATTTACCTGGCATTGCTTGGGTGCGTAAGGGCACATTCATGGCCCATGAGCCCCGAGAGGAGTGGCGTGGAGTGGGGGAGGGAATCCCCAGGCCCCATGAGGAGGTGGGGGGGCAGAGGTTGAAGGGAATCCCCACGCTCCAGATGAAGTAGGGGAAATGGGAAATTCCTAGGCCCCCATAGGAGCCTTACAATGTGGTTACGTCTAAACTGGCATGATTTTCCGCAAATGCTTTTAACGGAAAAGTTTTCCGTTACAAGCATTTGCGGAAAAGAGCGTCTAGATTGGCACGGACGCTTTTCCGCAAAAGCACTTTTTGTTTTCCGCAAAAGCACTTTTTGCAGAAAAGCGTCCATGCCAATCTAGACACGCTTTTGTGCAAAACAAATCTGAGCTGTCTACACTGGCCCTTTTGTGCAAAAGGACTTTTGCCCGAATGGGAGCAGCATAGTATTTCCACAAGAAGCACTGATTTCTTACATGAGATCATTAGTGTTCTTGCAGAAATTCAAGCGGCCAGTGTAGACAGCGGGCAAGTTTTTCCGCGAAAGCAGCTGCTTTTGCAGAAAAACTTGCCAGTCTAGGCACAGCCTGGGTGTGTAGGAAATATCAATGTGCCCATGTGGTGTGGTGGAGAGGGGGGAGTGTGCAGGTCCCCATAGGCAGAGGGTCAGTCTCGTGCTGATGGGCTTTTCCTGGTGCTCACTGTGCAGTATCCCATCCCCACTCACTGCCCACAGCGGTGAGTATGAGCATCACATCCCTCCTCTCTCTGCCCCTCCCTTTCCATGTTGAGAGGAAAGAGCCCTATTCCCACCACTTCCCTCGTTCCTAGCACAGCCAATCCCTGACCGCCTTGTAGTAGGGTGTGTGTGGGGGGCAGGGATGGGGAGTAATGCCCAGGCCCTGTAGCTGTAGGAGTGGGGTGAGGAGGGGATCCTTAAGGAGTCCCGTCCCTGGCCGGTCAGTCTCGTGCTGATGGGCTTTTCCGTGTGAGTGTGAGTGTGAGTGTGAGAGAGAGAGAGAGACACCTATTGCAGGGTAAATGAATGTGGGTTCAAAAGTCAAGAAGAATGCACAATAAACCCCTGTTAGTTGTGTAGAGGTGAAAGGAAGTGGGTGTGCAGCTCTGGCAAGAGCTGTGGCAAAAGCCAGCAGGGAGCTATTTAAAGAGATGGCAGGGACCCAAGTTGCAATAGGACAGTACCTGCAAAAAATTTTAAGTTATTTTCACCCCTGGGATTGTGTGGGATGGTGGTGTACAGCTCTGGCAAGAGCTGGCTGAGCTGCGGCAAAAGCCAGCCGGGAGCTATTTAAAGAGATGGCAGGGACCCAAGTTGCAATAGGACAGTACCTGCAAAAAATTTTAAGTTATTTTCACCCCTGGGATTGTGTGGGATTTTGTCTCCTACATGCACACATTCCCACCCCTACACTCAGCAATGGCTCTCTGAAAAGCAAAGGTGGAACAAGGGCACAGCTCTGTGGCAAGGAAGAAGAATGTTGATTTATTTCATAATCTCATTAGACAATCCCATTTACTTGCTGTTTGGTGGGGCCCTTCCTTCAAAAAAAAAAGAGGCAAAGTTTTCCGGTGAATCTGCTGATCTCTCAAGACGTGACCCTCATACTTACCCGCTCTTACATACGTTTATTTCCTAACACTTCATGAAATGAAAGTGGCTGTAAGAAGGGAGTTTTGAGGTTTTTCATGTGTCCCTTGTCCAGGTGTCATTAGTTATTTGGTGGGCAGGCAGAGGTGGGGGATGATGTGGATTGCAATACAGTCAGGAGCGGCCCGAGGCTGGCAGTGGAAATGGTGCCCCGTGCCCCGTGATGTCATCATCGGGTGCCCGGGCCGGCGGTGCCCTAGGCAACTGCCTAGTTTGCCTAGATTCACAGGCCACCCCTGGATACAGACTCTCTCTCTCTCTCTCCGGGCTCGTCTACATTGGCCCCTTTTCCGGAAGGGGCATGTTAATTTCAGCGATCGTAATAGGGAAATCCGCGGGGGATTTAAATATCTCCCGTGGCATTTAAATAAAAATGTCTGCCGCTTTTTTCCGGCTTTTAAAAAATGCTTGTAACGGAAAACTTTGAAGTAGGAATAAGATCCTCCGGAAAAGGGCGCTTTTTCCGGAGGATCGGGGCCAGTGTAGACGC